TCCTTCTGGATTAAGTAACTTCGATTTAGTGTATGTTGTTGTATGCTGGGTTGATTTAGGCCCTTTATGTGATAAGCTATCATTTTCGCTCGGTTGAGGACATTCAGTTGGACTTCGCAATAAGGCAGCACATTGATTGTCAATAACAGGTATGTGACACTCGGCATTGTTACAACTAATTTCTCGATTATTCTCTGCCATAAAAGAAACATTGGTACCGCTAATATCTGGTGCGGGCACTAAATTTGGTTCTGTCTGAAGAGAAGCGTAGGTGTCATTAAACTCGGCAACTTGAAGATCGTTAAATGAGCGGTTATTGTTATTTTGATGTTCGGCTTTGTTTAGAAATATAAAATCCCACAAGCAATGAAGCAAATGTTTTAGCTTAAATACGCTGATTCCAAGTAGGGCATGTTTGTCCATTTTTAAATGGGAGCGCAACAATGCTATTACAAACTAATAGCATGGCTTTTCGGGAGATTAGTGATTAAATGACCCCTTACCCTCGGCAGGTTTGCGGAATTCCCTCGGGCTTCGCCCTCAGGGATTCCGCAAACCTGCCTCGGGTTACGGGGCCATTTAATCACTAATCTCCCGAAAAGCCATGCTATTACTTATAATAATTTCCCGTGAATGGCCAACCCGATTTTCCGAATATATTAATTCTAAAAAGGTTGGAGGGGGGGGGGGGTTAACCACCACCCCCCGCCCAATACCCCATCGCTACGGCCCTGCGCGCCACGTGCTTTCAGATTTTGTACACGCGAGCAATTGTCTTAGTGTTGAAGAACTGGCATGACCTGCTTTTGAAGTTTAAACAAGGCTCCTTGTCGAGTCAAGGGAAGACTTGTCATTTTGTGGCGTACACACACGAGCAATTAATTTAACTTAAAATCAAAGTTGTCGAGGAAAACTTGCTTGTAGTGTATGGAGAGCAATGGCATACCTTTGAGATTGACACCATCTAACAGTGTAGCTTTCAGTGCTTCATTAATATAGTCCGTGTAGTAACCCACTCTTTCAGTGTCATTCAGTGCTGCTTCTCCAACTCTTTGATCTTCCCCTTTCTCACTCCATCCGTTCTCAGTGATATAAATTTCAGGGTCACCATAGTTTTCTTTTATATACGACAGTAGTTTACGAAGTCCTAGTGGAACTTTAGCCAACCAGTTTGGAGCGCCTGTATAAATTAGTTTATAGGATTGATTAGGATATACAGGGTGTCCCAAAAAAATGTCCCCTATCCTATTTTGTGGTACTACATCGTTACCTGTAATCGAATATTCAAATTTAAAATTTTTTTTATCAATGAACCACATATTACGTTAATCGTTGCATTTTTTCGCACCAAAATATTTAACCGTTCGTCTTCTAGAGTTACTTAAGGTGGTGACACCAATGTTGCCACTTGTCCAAATTGTGGATATTAGGTTTAAACATATTACAGAACGCAATAAAGTATTTTAATGGTAAATGGCTATACATATCTTTTCTAAAACTTGTAATTAGTTGTAGCCAAAATCGCGAATTAATTTTCTGTAAAAATAATGAAGCAAATCCCCAGAAAAGGGGAAAGACTAGTGCTGAAATCCCAATATTTGCTCTTTCATGGAACAAATTGAACAGAAAACAGCAAATTTAAGGCATTTTCCCAATTTAAGGCATTTTCCCAGGCCTTTGTCAATTTGCCAGGGATTTTTCATCTTTTTTTTATTAATTTCTACAAGAAACAAAACTTTAATAATAGAGATAAAAATCATTTTGTTTTTGACCAGAAAGGTGGGTAGAAACTGGTTTAAAAATCCTTCTACAAAGTTTGCATTATTTTTAACCTGATTTCTGTAATTTGGACGAGTTGCAAAATTGGTGTCGCCACCTTAAGTATCTCTAGAAGCCGAACAGTTAAGTCTTTTGGTGAGATAAATGCTACGATTAACATAATATGATTGTTTTTCAACCAATTGCAAAAAATTGAACCTTTGATTAAAAATAGCGAAGTAATACTAACAAATATGACAGGGGACATTTTTTGGGACACCCTGTATATTTAAATCCTATTTTTTATGCGATTGGAACATGATGTAGTCCTGAAATGTTGACATGCAAGGAGCTTGGCCAGGCCCTAGAAATAAGGAACATAAAATATTCCTGTATTTATGTATTTTTGGTTCTACAAATTGTTTTTTGAATGAAGAAACTATTAAAGAAAGTATTTAAAATGGGATTAAATATCTCACGGCGGAATGAAAGTGATAAAATATAGAGATTACGAAAATCATTATCATTGGACTACCAGAATTGCCAAATTTCAACACAAACTTTTCAGGTTATAATTATTACTTATTAGTCTCCTCAAATCAAATCAGTATTTTAGTCCATTGCACCCTGGGCAATGATCTGATTGATTATTATTTAACTTGACAAACCTTTTAACCATGATCCATCCTTATAGTTGTATGTCTCACTATCAATCCAATAATTCCAATCAACGGCGGAAATATTATCAAAGTGTGTCAGGTTGCCACACATTACTGACGTGTAATGATTGAGTCCGAAGAAATCTGCTGTTCCTTTTAACATTTTCTTTTCCTCTGCTGTAAACTGCGGAAGTCTATAAAAGGAAACAGCTCACTCATCACTCATGCTCTTGTTCGAAGCCGAAACTCAGCTCTTAGTCGTATGCTCAAGGCCAACTGGTACCCATGTACCCTTATGCTCCATCAATATACTTTCAATCGTTATCGTATTATCGCAGAGTTTGATATTTATGACATTTATTTATAACTGCACTACATGGTCCAGAAAATAGAGCTTTTGACCTGAAACAATGCCCTTGGCTTGTTCTACAATTCGCAGGTGAAGTGGATTGAAGTCGCTGAGAAATGAATGAATCGCAATTCGACTTAGCAAGGTGCAAGTATAGGGTGATTAGGTGACACCCCCATCTACTCACATAGTTCACATGCTTTATATCTATTATACCTGTTTGGAATTCCTTCAATTTTGGAGTGTTTTGCTATTAATGTTTTCATCACTTCAGGATAATCTCCATTGATATAAATTGGATTTGCAAACCAACCCAAGGTCCATTCCATCCCACGTTTTGCCGCCTTCAAAGAAGCGTCCTCGTTTTTCTGAGGAAAATGATAGTCGGAATTTAAAACTATTGAGACTCTCCCTTTTTGTGTCTGTCGAAATTCTCTGTCGTAGACATGCCACGCTTTACCATGAGCGAGCAATAAAGTGTGACCCGCTACAAACATAAGCATATATTCATGTCATAGATTGGCTAGAAATATTATATATGAAATCGGCGACTGTAATCATTGAAGTATACCTAAATACATTCCATCTTTAGGCCGTGAGATCCCAGGTGCATGAATGCCATTACCATACCCAATGACAGCAGAAACCCAAGGTTCATTCAAAGTAGCCCAAAATTTCACTCGGTCACCGAAATTCTTGAAGCACACTCTTGCATAATCACTACAAAGCCATAAAGAAATCAACATTATTCGTTTTCGGTTATTACTCTGATCGTATGGAGGTTAAGATTTCAATTCCACGTACTACCATTAACCAATTAGATGCGTTGGATATATGTGAGAGGTAGTGGTAGGGGTATTGGAAGTAAAATCCGAACCCCTCCGTATCGAAACGCGAACATCGAAGAGTTGACATCCAATTAACTACAATCATTTTCAAAAGTGCTGTTATTGGGCACTTCCAATTTTAGATCGTCCATGTCTATAGAAATTAAAACAAACATTTATACCCCCCCCCCCCCCATCAATGTTGTTTTCCCAGTCCAGGCGCTATATATGCTAACTGGGACACAACATTGAATAGCGGTCGGGGTGATCGAAATTTCTTAAAATTATAAAAGGTACTGATTTGGAGCATTGCCTCTCACACTTGAGATTGATTGTACAATATTGCCAAATGAGTTGAAATAATGGCTTTCTGATGTCGGATGATGACCATACGAAGTTTTAGTTTTTAATCCATATTGATATCCCCGAATGAGAATTTTTGTACTAAGCTTGAACACAGTTTCAGACTTGTATGTATCAGATTAAGATTTAGGGCCTGTTTACATGGAGGTAGGGTAACCCTATCAGGACGGTTGCTCTAACAAGCGGAAGGGTAACGGTTTACCCTACTGCTAGGGCTACGTTGCCCGATAGGGTGACCCTACCTATGCGTGGTCGATAAGCCGTCTGTATTAAGCAGCATGTTTTGTAGTGGTGCTAAACAGACTGCAGAGACTCAAAGTTCAGAAAAAGTTAATGTCAGTACGAACTCAACTCCCTATCCGGGACTTCAGCCCCTTAGTTGGAAAATTCCTGGCGCCACACTGGATTGGGATTACGCTTACATAGGGTTAGGATAAGGGTTGGGTTAGATTATTGGATAGGGAGCGTTCATTATGGGAAGGAGGGGCGTGGTTTTTGAAAATTTTAAAAAATTTCTTTTTGACCCCAACTTTAGATTTTTAGTTCCCCACCACCTATCAATTAAACTGAAAGATTGTTTAATAATATTTCGGATTATAGATAGTCTTCTTCAATTTCAGGTCACCCTCAGGATTTAAGTTACCAGAATAGACCTTTTTAAAGTCTGTCTTGTGCCGTCACGGTAGTGTTTTTGACCCCGCAGAGCCATTTCACCTTACCTGAGTGGCCAAATGATCGTATTTATCCGAAAACTACGTCACAAGACAGACTTTTTAATAAGGTCTATTGTGTCCCTTCTTTTCTTCAAAAAATCGTAGGCCCCCAGTTTGTCACCCAGCCCCTCCCCGTCCATAAATAATTGAGGGCCACAATTAGTTCATGAGTTTTATACTGTTTAGTTTTTACCCTCGTAAAATAAAGTCTTTCATTCATTCATTCATTCACTTTATACGGGCTATATAATAGGTTAAGATGAACATGTGATTAGGATTAGGATCGGGACTAGAGTCAAGAAAATTGGGAATAGTTAATAAGAGTGAGAAATTGCTCTATTTGTGAAGTTGCAGTTGCAATATGGAAATTTTTGAAGGCAAGATAAATTTATCTACCCGAATATGTCACTGATCGTGAAGTTGAGCCATCCTCCCATGTCTTCCAGGTTTTGTGGTAAATCCCAGTGGTACAAAGTAACCATGGGCTTGATTCCATTCTTCAACAATTCGTCAATCAATTTGTTGTAGTATTCTATACCTTTGGGGTTCACGTTATCTGCCGTACCTTTAGGAAGGATTCGCGCCCAGGAGAGTGAAAATCTGTAATATTTCACGCCTACAGTAATGGAAGACATCCAAGAGTAATCGAATATATCTTTGCATCGCGAGCTAGGACTTAACTGTCTCAAAATACGGCAACATTTCAATGTATGAGCATCATTGTTCATAAGTTAAAAACAAATATAGCCTAAACCACAGATTGTAAATAAGTGACAAACATTGCCATTCAACAATAAAAGAAACTGTTAAAATGTGTTTTAGCAGTATTTGGTGTTGCCTGTTGAGTGTTTTCTGCGGCTGTTAGATACTGCATTCTTTTCGTAAACTGGAAGAACTTTTTCCCTTTTCACTCCATTTTCAGCATTGCGTACGTAGCCGGTCAGAGCGGGCAACAATTTTTTACTTGTTACCCCGGCAGGATACCGTTGCATTGACCTAAATCCACGCAACCACAAATTAGCCAATCACGTTAGTTTGAGCACTAATTATATAACAATTGCAGTTATAATAATTGCAGTAAAATTTTCGTTAAACTGTACAACATATCACGGCATGCATCAAATCAGTTTATGATTACGCGGGTGTTTTCTGAGATTCCAAAACTATTCACTTATAGCAGAAAGAAAATATACCGTTGTTCGGCAATTTACTGTTGCAATTTTTACCTTTTTATCATAATTAGCTACAGTGGAGAAATATTTGTCTATATGAGCATTAGCCCTAAGAGGAGATGCCTCTTAAACTGTTTTGATAGATCCCTAGCTAGCTCGATCAATTAACATTTCTCCATATCCACCATTTTTGGAACACTGACTTTCCACGTCAGAGGATCTAGACAAACTATAAACAATGTGAAAATCGACTTTCCAAAGTTTTACTGTAAATCTATACACACAACTATAGCGGCAATAATGAAAAGGACCAAACTGTCTCAACATATAGCAACATTTTAATGTATGAGCATCATTATTATAATTAAAGGTAGAAATCGAGCATAGATTATTATAATTATTATTACATTATTGTAATTAAGCTAGAAATCGAGCATAGACATATAATAATATTATGTAAGGTATATAATCTTGTAATGTAATGTTGTGTGGTAAATAAATTGATAAATTGATTGATTGATTGATTGATTGATTGATTGATTGATTGATTGATTAATTGAAACATGGAACACTATTTATCAAGCTAGATGGCAATTATTCACAAAAAAGAACTTATATCCAGGTACAGTACAGCCTGTCCTACGCCGATGAACTCTGGCTTCCACATGAATAATAATAATAATAATGGAAACTTTTTATTAGATATTTACGATATACTATATATACATTGATAAACCTCACTTAATAAAAGGTAGCTTATCGATGTCCACTTGAATTGAATTTAA